TCTCTTCTGTCTCTTCATCTTTCTGTCTCTCTGTCTCCATTTCTCTCTCAGACACAAACACACACACACACTATTCTGTGAAAGGAGACTTCTTGCCATACAAAGACAAACTCCGCATCTTGAGAAAGACACTTGACAAAACACGTTCTCAATCCAAGTCTTTGTGTGAGGTCTGGGCAACTGGCTTATTTTCTAGAACAATCGGTGGTTCTGAAATCAGGAGATCATCTTCCCCAAAGGAGGAGTTCTGGTCCGTGTTGACGAAGTTAGGGATGTCAAATTTCATGAGTCTGTTCAGCTCCTCCTCTGGCTGCCTGCTGCATCTGATGGCTTCCTGGAGCTGAATGTCACTGTCGAGGGCTGTGGTCTGGAGACCAGCTTTGGCCTTGTCCAAGTGGTCCACTTCATTGATGTAGCAGTGAAAGAAGGACCTAGATTCCTCATTGCCCTGTCGAGAAAACACCTTGTCGGGCTCCAATGGTCTTCCAAAGTCTGACACAAAGCTGTTCATTCTGAGTCTCTTCTCGGAAGACTCGGCATTGCTATAAAGAAAAGCAGAATAAGCGATTGCTTACACTTTAGCTCAGCAACCTGCAGAATCACGATTTTTGCCATCTACTGAGTGCAAGTCCCTGCACAGAGCGTGCTGACAAGCATCGGAAGTGAGAAACATCACTTCTGAACACATACAAATAAACCCAAGGCGAGGGCCCTTGGGACCATCCTGAAAAGACGCCTTCCCCTGGGGAATGCCAGAGAGCATGCATCACACACCAGTGTGGGACCTTCAGATCATCTGCATCAGAATTACCTGAAGTGCTTCTTAAAATGCAGAATTCTGGGGTGCAGACACTCAGAATCTCCGGAGGTAGGGACCAGTAGTCTGTATTTTCATAGAATCCCCAAGGATCACTGCTCATGCTCAGGTTTAGAACCACTGGTCCGCATCAGGCTACCAGCATTATGTCGCAGGGGTGGGTCTCATGTTTGTCAAAGCTCTGTCATGCCCGCGTACCTCACCCGAGTCTCAGAACTGACCAGTACAGTCCTGAAGGGCAAGAACTACTCCATCTCACAGAGGCATACGCAGGTCGCCCGACTGATGGAAACAATCAGTGACAGGAGAGGGGACAAAGCAAGGTTCCTAATCCTTGCTTCATTTACTGTGGGACAAATTAGCAATTCAAGGGTAGGAAATCAGTGAATGAAAGAATAACGTAGTTCTCAGTTAGTCCCAGAAGAGCCTGGAAGAAAGAGCCTGGGCACACTGAACAACCTGAGAGCCCATCTGCTTTAATCGCCGTCCTTCCCAGGTTTATACAAAGGTTCCTCCCACCCAGGCAGTGACTCCTGGAGGGCAAGGATCATGTCTGAGCACCCTCTCAAGTCCAGAACAGAACCTGACAGAAATTAGGCTCTGGAGCCTGAGTTTAGTGAGTGTGGACTCTCAGTGATTCCAGCTCTTACGTAAACCTCTGCCTTCCCACCCCATCCCTCACCATGCAGCCCTGTGACCAAGCTCTCCCAGGGCGGGGGCCACAGAATCCATTTATGGGACTGGAAAAACCTGACCATGTAAACCAACCTCCAAATTATTATCAAAAGTCACCTGGATTTCAGGGATCAGTAATCCCAGAAGCTTTGCAGTTCAGGCAGCTGAGGGATTTTTATATCAGATCTATCTCCTACTGTGATTACCTGGGTGACATGAGACAAGGACTTCTTCTCAGAAGCCCGAGTTTCTCCTTTCAGGAATAAGCCTGATTAACAAATCTCATTGCCCACTCAACAAGTGTGAAGTGAAGATCAGTGACTGACACAGGAGTACAGCACTCACTAGGTCATGGAGTTAGAATTCAGAAAAAAGTCATTTTAGAGAGACTAACAGAATGCGGCTTTAATGCCAACTTAAGTAGTCTTATCTTTCAGTAAATCATCTTCTTCCCCTACTTCTCACTTCACCCAAGTTTAAAAGATGTTTGAGAAAGGGATGAGTGTGCCAGCAATCTGTGACTCAATAAGCTAAAATGTCACCTAGGAAAAAGGGAGGAGGAACACGTTTGGGAAAAGCATGGTGAGGATGGCGGGGCCACATCATCCCCCAGTTCCAGGCTAAGAAGCTCTGAGTAACAGCTTTCCTGCCTGCCTGGAGCATCAGCTGATGTGAGAGCCAAACCAGAAACCCAACCCAGAAACCCCACGGTGTCCAGCAGCTCTTCCATAACCCAGGCTACACTTTCTCAGGATTAAGAACTGGGTCCACTGACCCGCTTGCTGAAGAACAAAGACACAGGAGACCAAGAGAGTTCTGACCCTCCCCAGGAGAGAGCCCAGACCGTGGACAGGACGATGCCTTCCCTGCCCAACCCCGCTCCCACTGGTCTTTCTCCCCATGATCTACCTGTGATAACAGTGCAATCTGTCTGATTCTCCCTCTCTGCGAGCAAGGGAAAAGGTCATCTTGGTACTCTGAGAGTCTGGTAAACATTAAATACTCAAGAGATCATCCTTTTATTCCTTTTTTCTTTCCTTGACTGATACACAAAAAAACATGCATGAGAAAAGCTGTGATCCTGGACACAGCCTGCCTCCATTCAGTTTCTCTTCATCCCATCGTTGGGTAAAGTTTATGCACTGAAATCCACAGATCTCAAGTACAAAATTCAATGTGTTTTTATTAATGTATACATCCATGCAACCCCCCCCCACCAATCGAGATATAGATATTTCCTTTCTCCCGGAGAGTTTCCTTCCTTTCAATGTCCACCCCTTCGGGTAACCCTGCTCTGATTTCCATTTTTATTGATTAGCTTTGCCTGTTCTTGAGTTGCCGGTCAATTTCCTCCTGGAGGAGGCAATCTGTTTTGATTTGCACCGTCGCAGATTAGTCTAGCCTGTTCTTGAAATTCATATAAATGGAATCATGCCATATATGGTGTTTTGTGCCTGGATTCTTTTGCTCACCAGAATGTTTTTTGAGATTCATTCTTGTTGTCGCACGTAACATTAGTTTGTCCATTTTCTTGCTCAGAAATACTCTGTTATACACATAGACTACAATTTGTTTACTCATTCTTCTGCTAAAGGGCATTTCAGTTGTTTCCAGTTTGGGGCTGCTGTAAGCAAAGCTGCTATGAACATTCTTAAAAGCTCTTTGTAGATACACACTTGTATTGCTCTCGAGTAAATCCTAAGCGTAGAATTACTGGGTCATGTAGTAGATGTTTCTTTATAAGAAACTGCAGAGCTTTCCAAAGTGGTTGTGCGTTCTTATACTCTCACTGCGGTGTATAAGAATTACAGTTGTTCCTCATCCTGGTCAGCATCTGGTGTTGTCGGTCCTTTTACGTTAGCCATTCTAGCGAGAGTGAAACGGCACTCAGGCCGATTTTAACGTGCCTTCCTCTGATGACTAGTAACACTGAGCATCTTCTCATGTCCTTGTTGGCTCTCGGTTTACCTCCTTTTGTGAAGTGCCTGCCCATTTAAAAATGTGGGTGGTTTATCTTTCGTTATTGATCTGCAGAAGTTTTTACTATATTGTGAATATAAGTCTTTTGGTAGATTTATGTGTTGCAAACATTTTCTCTTGATCTGTGACTTGCATTTTCATTTTCTTAAAGATGGCTTTTGATAAGAAGAAGCTTTAAATATCAGTTAAGTCCAAGTTATTAACTTTTATCTCCTATGTTGGTGCTTTTTATATCCTAAGAAATAACTGCCGACCCCAAAATCACAAAGATACTCTCCTATGCTTTCTTCCAGAACCATGGTGTCCAACACAGGAGCCACTAGCCACAGGGGGCTATTTAAATTTTTTTAATTTAAATTAAGTAAAATTAAATAAAGTAAAAACTTTGGTTTCTCAGTCATATTACCCACATTTCAAGGGGTCAAGGGCCATGGATGGCCAGTGGCTACCTAATCAGACAGCACAGAGAACATTTCTGTCATCACAGAAAGTCCTATTGGACAGAGGAGAGTTTATTCTGGGTATGTAGTCTATGTGGAGATAGGGGTCAAGGCTCATTTTTTTTTCCCATATGTGTATCCTATTGTTCCAGCACTGTTGTTAAAAAAAAACAAAACAACTTTCTTTTCAATTGACCTTATATAAAAACCACTGCATTTCTACATACTGGTAACGAACAGCAAGAAAATGAAAAAATAATTCCATTCACTACCGCATCAAAACATAGAACACTGAATTTAACAAAGGATGCATAAGACCTGTTCACTGAAAATTTCAACACTGCAAAGGGAAATGAAGGAAGACCTCAGTACATGAAGAGATGTATCAGGGCTTGTGGACTGGGAGACGTTAGGTGAAAAGCCATGTTACCATCGACATAAACTATCGAAGCTTCCTTCCTTCGAGGGACAAAAGCCTTTCTCCCTTCTGTTTCTGTCTGCAGAAATGGTAATGTTCACTCTCCAGTGCCTTCCAACAGTCATTCTTTATATTTTGCCCAGATTTTATCATTACTGTTGCTAAGAGGCTCACACGCCCTGACTGTCCTCAGGTTCACCCCATACAGGAAAAGCGGTGGGCAGTCCAGCCTGCGGGCACCTAGTATTTCCAGCAGTCACTCCCAGTGCACTCTGAGAGACGCATAAGCCAGGCAAAGACCGACTAAGCGAGAAACCACCAGCGAGAAAATAACAATCACCATGAACGGACCCACAGCCTGTGCCGAGCGCCTTCTCCCACGTAACGAGCCCTCACAGAGGCACCAACCAAAGTGTTCTCTGTGTGGTGCCTTTTGGTTGCTTTGGCTGGTAGTTCTGCCTTGCCAGGGAGATGTCAGTCTCTCTGAGGCAGGACTCTACTACCTTAGAATGACCCTTGTCACATCCAGGGCAACACTTCTTAATTGATGGGGAATTAGAAGTGACTCCTAAACACAGGTGTATAACTTGAATCAGACACCTAGGGCAGGTGGATATTTTTTCACCTGTTGATATATGGAAAATCTTCCAGAACGACAAGCCTTCCTCGGGAACCACTTACAACATCTGCACTTAGCTGGTTCCTGTGAGTTTGGTCATTATCCAAGACCTTGAGCATATTCTCCTGTCATTCGCTTTCCGGTGCACTGTACCCATCCTTTAGTCAATGTCATATTCAGGTAAGTTACATCTCAAGGTGAAGTGTCACTTCCATTTTTACAAGGTCATGAGTAATCCTGAACTCGCCCCTAGAAGAAGACCATCCCCACCTGTTCAAAAGCTACAAAAGGAGGTGTCTGAGGTGTATGATATCTGGGGTTTGATCATTTTTAAAGAAGTCCAGAACACTCAACATGGAAATGTGATCCAAGCCTTTCCCATACTCTTTCTCTCCGGCAGATTTATGATAATGGGGCTATAATGCCTTAACAAGATGGCAAAGAGAGTAAATGGCTCCTTAGTGGAGAAAGCATGGGGGAAAATGGTTCCTTTATCTTCACTGTCCAAAAAGGATCCAGGTAACAGGGTTTCCCCATCCACCCAATAATTCAGCAAATATCCTGTGGGAAAAATAATCCTCATTAAAGCTGCT